CTTGCAACTAGTATAATTTTTTATTTTTGGGTATTTTAATTACGAATTTATTGTGTGGATTTGGATTTCAGTTATTAATAATATCGAAATATAAAGTTTTTGTGACGATGAATTAAATAATAACAACGTAAAAAAAGTGATGTGACAAATAAATATCACATTTCACTAAATTCAATAACAATGTGACTAAAAAATTCATGTATGGTCATGCTTAGATAATATTTTTTTTGTTAGAAAATAAAATAACCACTTATAAATATGCAAATAATATGACCATATGGAAGATAGTAGTCATGTTTATCTATATTATGTGTCTTGACAGAACACTAATGGCAACAATAGTCACATTCAACAACGTTTTCGTGTCTAAATGATAAAATAGTTTATACTAATAACCAATTTTTATGGTAATAATTGGAATATTGGTCACACTTGCAACAACTTTGTGTCTATAAATCAGTTACAATTATTTTGTAATTGATTCTCTATGTCGAAATAATATAAAATAGTCATAGTTACAACATTTTATATGTCTAAATGATAACATCGGTCATGAAAAATAAAACAAATATGGTCGTAAACTAATATTAAATCCGTAATTTTAACAAAATGTGTCTTTATAATACTTATGATCATGTTTCACTTAATTGTGTCTCTATATGATATGCAATAGTCACCAAAATTGCTTCTTTTTGTGACTAATTATTAGCAAATCGCCACATATGAAATTAAGTACATGTGACCATTTAGCGAATATGGTCATGTTCACCGTAATTACATGTCTGCAAAAGATACCCAATAGTCTTAATAAACTTTAAATTGTGACTATTTATTAGTAAAACGTCACACTGAAACAACATGCATGTCGCAAGTTGGTGATATATAGTCACTACAGTTACAAAATAAATGTGTCTACCAAAAGTTTAACGCCACAATATTGGATAAAATGATTGATTTTAGCAACAAAATTCTCTTCCTAATAGCCACACATTTATAATACGGCCACACTTTTTCATATCATACGGACACTACATTTTAAAGTGACCATAACACCTATACGATGGCGTCACCTTCCATCACACTTTTAGTGAAAAAATAAAATGTCACTATACGCATATGGTCACACTTTTTTGGTGTGACTGTAAATCATTTTTCTTGTAGTGGGTGTGAAGCACTTGAAACTTCATCATGTTTCTTTCTTGCGATGTTGGTAGTTCCCTACTACAACCTTCTGACAAAATAATAGAAACTGATTTAAAAATACGGGGAAATTTTCTAAAAAATCATAAATATAAAAAATTTATTGACATATCACCTATGAAAGGAGAAATAGAGCACCATTGTGTAAATGACAACACCATAAACAAAAAAGGCATTCGTATATAACAACCTTAGGAAGAATTTAAAAGCTTTATCAAAACATTACAAAAAAATTAGTTATCACAATACAAAGTATGACTAGATATGGCTCAATACTAAATAATTTCATTTTTGTTTTTGAAAGTTTAACAATACACTTTGAATTTATTTATTTATTATAGCATCCTACTTTCATTTCTTATTACAACATTGTAAGTTATTTTTAGTACAAACAATATACTTTCAATAATGGATGGATTATCATTAATTTTACTGATATTATATATACTGTGATGAAAAAAAAATTTAAAATTTTGAACTTTAATGAGTAAGTATATAGTAGTTATGGTTTGATTTTCCACCACTAAACAAAATGGAGGGACACACATTCCATCAGGATTGGTCTATTCCATTCATTTCATAGAATAAACCATTTCATTCCTTTCATGATTCCGTGATACTAAACACTATTGGTAGATTAGTTTAACGCCTATGAATTTGAAAGTTGAAAGTGCATGAAACATAAATGAAGTCAAAAAATAGGCATCAGCCCTTGCAGTTACCATAAAATGGTCAAAAAGGTTGAGATTATGACTCTTTATTTGACCCCAATTAGATGACGTTGGGGGAAGTCTTCGTTTTTCACTGATTATGGATTATGACCAATTATGAAAGAGAAAAATGTGTTATATTTTGGGATATTATTGTAATTGTTTACTGTATAGATGAAGGAAATGGATGTATCATATGTGCAGAAATACCCAACTATTTGTTAAATGATATACTTCTTCATGGTCTTTAATTATTCTTTGTTTTGAAATTGTATTATAACAAACTAGTTGTGAAACCCGTATATTATATGGATTGATTAAAACAAAATTTTAAATAGGAACGATAAGGTTTTTTTTTTAATTTGAAATATAAAATAAGTGAAAACTATGAGAAAAAAACACGTGAAAAATTAATAAATTAAAATTATGTGTTTAGTTGTCAGACTCGTATACTAAAAGGGTTAATTGTAACAATATGTTAAAATAAATGTTTAAACTGTAACCATATTTGAAATTGAAATTAAAATTTCAAATTTCAAATTTGAAGTTAATAGTCATTATGGTAGGTTTAATTTATGGAAATTAAATTAATGATATACTAAATACTAAAATGAAAAATAAAATAAATGACAAGTGGAAAATAAATATATCTCAAAATTATAAAAAAATGACATGTGGCCAATTGAATGAGAGAATGACATGTGACAAAATTATTCTTATTTATTAGGGTAGATTAAAAAATTGCTAATATTATTATCAGATCCATAATCCATTTAGAAGGCCCCCGAAGGAAAGTTAGGACAAGGCATCTATATTATCCTAAAAAAGGGGAGAATATTGACTGATTAAAGCCAAAAATAAAAATATGTTTTCCTTTCTGGTGCATAAGGTTCCATTTGTTTGCACAAAACAAGTATAATTTTAAGAAACTTTACTTATAACTAGAGGGGTTACCCGTGCGTTGCGCGGGGCGGAATGTGTTCGTTTTGTGAGACAAATAATGAAGTACATTGCATAAATTGGTATCCAAATTAAAGATGTTGCTATTCTGTGTAATTTTCCATCAATCGGATGAATGGAAATGTAATGATAGATCATGCTACCAAAAGAAGTACAATGCTATATTTGAATAGATTTTCAAAAACAATGAAAATACAATCTTATATCCAGGTAGTTTTAAATGAAAGTAGAATGCAATCTACAATCCAAATTCTAGTGGGTAGTTTAAGAATTGAAGAGAAAATGTATTATGGACACTCATTTAAACAATATGGCCCTCGGTACTAACATGAGGGTACAAAACAATGAAAGCAAAGTAATCCATTTTAAAAAAACAATGAAACCCAGTAAAAAGAAACAATCTATTATTATTCCATTTATCAATAACCATGACCACTCATCATCTCATTTCGTAACATGCGAGCTTAACCAAGCAAGGGTAATTTCGTAATTTGGAGAGCAACATCTAGTAGTAACAAATATAAATTAACAAAAGTAAAATATATTAGAGAACACATCAGATGTAAAAAGATACAATTATAAATATTAATCTGAAATGTGTTTATATAGTTTTGGATGATGATACCCATCTCCAATATATCGTTTCGGTACTTTGGCTAGGATTTATAAGAACCCTTTGAGCTATACCAACACTTTTGAGAAGTAATCTGGAAAATTTACCATAAAATAATACAAATCTGAAAAAAAAAAACAGTATTTCAGTTGAAGAAATCAATGAAGAAACAGTGAATCATATACCTGTTTCTTCAATGGATCTAATGTTCCCCTGTTTAAAAAAATAAATAAATCAAAAGGTTGAAACCCTCCTAACCTTTCAATAAACCCTAATCCACATGAGACTTTTTATTTGCTCAAATTCGAACATTGGTTCAATGGATTTGTACGAACAGGATGTGGGTTCCAAACAAAAGAGAAATATCAATTCGGTTGGTTTATTATGAAGCTAAAGTTGGTCATGCTATAGCATAATATACTCCTGTTTGAACTAGGGTTTGAAACCAAACTTCTCCTCTATAAAATTACTTAATTGTGTCATTAATTAAAAAAAATGAAAAACAATAAAAAAATATTAAAAAATTAAAAAAATTAAAAAAGAAGTACCTTGTTGCTGACTGTACGGCGTCAAAGCTAGATTGACGTCTCAGATTAGCTGCAAGGCAATAAAAAAACAGAATTCATGTAAAAAAACATAATAATTTATATTGTAGTTTTTTATAAGTTTTAACTAATCTTTGTCTTTTCGTTGTGCAAAAACACCTTGAATTGCAGTAAAGATTTCGGGTGTAAATACATAAACACCACAATTTATTCGGTCACTAATTATTAGACCAAAACAGTAAAAACTAATTATTCTATTTAACATGTCAAGTGGTTGACTTTTGTTAAGCACATACAAAGTTTCAGGTTTATCAGTGTAATGGAACAACTCTCCAATTGTTCTGCTGATACAGGGGAAACCTTAATTACAAGGATTGTTCCCATCCAACCATATTTTTATGAGCCTTTATAAAAAAAAATATGTAGTGTGTGTTAGAGTGAGTCATTTAAACATTTAAGTTTCCTATTAACCTGAATGAATTTTATATAAATTTATGTAATGTATAAAAAAATAAGTCAGACCAAACATCTCGGATAACGGGAAAGTGCAGGAAACATCACAATTTAGCAAGAACATGTGCAATTGTTATAAAAAAACCTTAGCATTCAATTGGACTATAGGAGTTTGAAAAAAATAGTTTTTTCTTGTTACTTTTGTGATGAGATCTCTGGAATTGTATAGTCAACCAGCAGACCCACGTGGGTTGTCATCTTTCAAGTATCAATTTCAAGATGATCCAAAAGGAAATCATAATAATAAGATGAAAAATTGAGATCAAATCCAACACCATCAAAGAGAAACGAAAATTATCAAAAAGAAAGAAGGTCGTGAAGTTACTTGCTAGGAATAAAATTGAAGTCCGGAAGAGGGCCATCAATCTCAATCTCTCTCCAACACTTGTATACAACATCGAAGATTATAGGTGGAAGTAAGTAAATAAATAGTACTTCTTCACAACAGACGCGAGGGTTTCAACCTGGTTGTACATAAGATGATTGCTCCAACAACGAACCCCTATTTGGAGTCACATATTTTGCAGTGGTGTTTGTATCAGACATTTTGTCGAGCACTTGATGTGCGTCTCTAAAGAGGAAATATATTCCATTAATAATGTAAAAGAAATTCCAAAAACTTCAAAACAACAACAAATTACAAATAGCAGGTTATAAATTCCTTCTCTATTAAGATTGAATGAGTAAACATCCCCGATACGCCAGCCGAAACAGATCGGCTTCAACAAACACCATCTGAAAATCATTGTAATCTATATATATTTAATTGTGCACATCATATTTTCCAATCATACGCAGTAACAACCTGTATGAACACACCATCAACATAATCAACATTTATGATAGTGATTATGAGCAGGAAAGGAAATTGATCACAGAAAAAGAAGAACGCATACAACACATTAATCTATTACCCGGTTTCCTTTGGAATCTGAAAAAAATAGCATACCTTATAAAATATATCCAAAATATCACCAAAGTTAAATTTAGACACAGGTAAACAACTCCAAACAATCAACTTATTAAATTTCCAATCCTCCTCCCCACTTCAGTTGGTAAACATTCCCAATACGCCAACCCAAACAGATCAGCTTCAACAAACACCATCTGAAAAAGAGTGAAAACATTTGGAGGCGATGGTAGGAAGAAATCAAATACAAATAAAAAATAAGTATAAGAAAAGTAGAAAAAACCACACCTTGAGAAATTGGAAAGGAAGGAAAGAGAAAACAAAGAAATCGTATTATTTTCCCCTTCTGTTGAATTCCATGAAATGAGAAACTTGGAAGAAGAAACCAAAAAATTTAAAAACAACAAAGTGAATCATAATATGAAAGTAAAGAAATTAGAATAAATTGGTAACTGAAAGCATCAACCATTGGTGAAGGAAACATTGAAAAAGAAGTGGAGGGATTAAACTAAGTCAATGAGTAGATACACCACCAAGGATCCGGCCCCGAACAGTGCATAAAAAAAACCCTGAGATTGCTGGAACAAATACATCACTTGAGTTGAGAACATATGTAGAAGTTAATCACCATCTCATACATACTCTGATTCAAGAAACTTTGACTTCCTGTCCATTGGCATTATTCCTTACTGAAATCGATCATCGTCAATCAATAATTCAAATTATATTAAAAAATTCAAACATCTTGATTAGCCAAATAAATAGCAGCATCCTTATCAAAATCAAGTTTAAGTCAAAAGAAAGTATGATGTGGATGTTAGATTTCCAAATTCCGGAGTTTCAAAAAGTCCTAAAATGATAGTAGGCTGCTGTAATTGCTTGTTTTTGAAAGTATGCTTATTTAAAAAGAACAATAATAAAGATAAATCTTGTAACAATCAAACAATTATTTCACAATCAATTGAAGGCTTCAAAGTCCTCACAAATGGAAACCAGAAATTCACTATGAAGCCTTTGAGTTGTGAATGTTCCCATAAATAATTTAGTTATTATTTAAATGTATAAAATATACAGCTTAACAAATCTAATATCATTATATGCCAAATTAACATCATGGAACTAAAAAAGACTTAAAAATGGATTTTTGATATTTAGGAAAGAAGCAAGTGGTAAAAATTAAAACCTGTTACTGTAAGGTTGAGCATGTGTTTTTTGAGAAAATGACTTAACATTATTTTCAGGCTCAATTGATCTAATAGATGGATAAACTGTATGCCTTATTGTGTCATTTGACATATCTAACCTCCCAGCAGTGACACTTGTCTAAATTTGTTGAAGCTGTATATCTGTTACATAGAAAAAGAGAAAGATGAAAAGATAATTACTTGTGTTGTCATAATAAACAAAAGGACATCTTTTTAAGAACTTTGCATCTTTTAAACTTGTATTGTGAAACTAAGATCCCTAGAAGAGATAGCAAAGTAAAGTTACAGTTGAATTGAAATTCAATTCCATTCCAATCCTGTGTTTGGTTGTGATCAGGTACAAAATTAAATTCCATAGGAATTCACAAAATTCCATGGCCAATGGGTTTCAAAATTCCATCGTAAAACCTATCGCACTTAGATCTTGGTATTTCTTCCTTAATAAAAATACCTAAATAACCTATCAAACCTAAAAAAAAAAAAACACAAACAAACACATGAATTCCATTCCATTTCCCCCAACCAAATGCATGACATAATTTAATTCATTTAGGTTCCAAATCCTTCAATTCCCAATTCCATTGATGGAATTTGATTAATTATGATAGAAGTAACAATCTAATGTTTTTTTTTTAATTAGTTGAAAAATAAAACTTGAATTGCTTACTCAAATGAGCTTGATCTCAGCTTGTCCCAGACCACGGACCGATCGGGTGCAGCTCGTACTTTATCCCAAGATTTCAACTTCTTGATCTTCATCAAATTGTGCAGTACCTGAATTGCTACATGAAGTCTCTATAAAACCTGGAACCAAAAATCAAATCAAATTATAAATTTATACCTGATGGATTCAAATCAAATAAGGTATGTGGGTTAGATCGACTATATAAAGGGAGGGTGAGAAATGGCGGTGGTTGCAGAACGTGGAAGTCGACCTGCGTGTTTGTATTCTGCAATAGATTAATCCTCTTACAACCATCAAGCAAATTCCCTTGCTGCCAGAAAAAAACCCCAAATTATCTGCAGAAAACATAGTGAATACGTAGAAGGAAGCGCGATTGAAATAAACAAAACACTACCATCTGAAGTTACTCCTGTGACGACAATCAGTGGAAGGTAGAGCAAATAGGGAGATGCGGTGGAGGAAACATTGAGAAGGAGCGGAGGGATTAAACTAAGTCGATAAGTAGATATACCACCAAGGATCCGACCACGTTGTTGTTTCCCTGTTGAAGTAAAGAGGATAAATCAATGGTGGTCTGGAGTAGCAGAGGTGAGACGACCGAAGTTATAAACCAATTATACGAGAAAACAAGAAAAATAAGATGAACGTATGTGAAAATTTACCTTACAGAGAGAAAGACGGATGTGGATGAAAGACAGCAGGGAGCAGAAAGAAGAAAGAAGGAGATACGGAAGAGAAAGAAGTTAAGGAAAGAAAAAGAAATATCCATTAATTGACACGTAGATCCGAGTATACGAATAAAGGATCAAGCGTTGGACACGTTGAAAGCCGTTGAAAATTTTTACAAAAAACCCCCTCTAATTAAATTAAAACGGAGAGAAAATTGGTAACAAAATTAGAGGGACCATAGTTGGATAGAATTTCAATAGTTTACTGTTGAAATCTATCACAACTTTTTTATATATATATATATATATATATATATATATATATATATATATATATATATTAATGAGTAAAATTTATGAATGAGATAAAGTAGAATTTAATGTAATACATTTTATATTTTAATAAACTTACTTTTAACTATATTTATTAGGTTTAATTTATATTTCGTTGAAAAAACATTAATACGTCAAATTTTATCCATATTAAGAAAATGGAAATTACTAATCTAACTAAATTCATTAATACCAATGAAGCCCAGCGCAGCTGGGAAAGAGGTGTTGGGTTTATAACCATTGAGGGGTATGGTGGGAAGTTCGACTCTCATTGGTGGCCACTCATGGGGAATTTTCTTTTGGAATCCCATAAAAAAGGGTGAGGGTTTGCCCTGTAAAGGAGCTTGAACCCGGGCTTCCGCTTGGTATTTGCCGTTCCAAAAAAAAAAAAAAAACAACTAAATTCATTAATGACTTATCACCTTTTAGTCAAAATTTAGGCCTTATTACAAAATAGCCATCAAAATCGTATGTAGTTAAAATGGCCTACTGTTTCGCCCATTTACCTACTGTTTTGATTTTAGTATATAATGATTTTTTTTTTTTCATTTTACATTACGAAACCGTAGACGAAAAAATGGTCTACTGTTTCCTCTGAAAAGTCTACAGTTTCCCAAATAATAAATTAAAAATGGTCTACTGTTTTGTTTTGCTTTTTTTTTTTGATGAAAAAAAAAACACTAACTTTTACTCTAAAAGAGATTTTTCTTTTAATATATACTAGGTACGATATAGTAGTCAAAATACCTGAATTAGTAGTAAAAAAACCCAAAAAAAACCCAAAACCATAGGTTTTTAGACGAGACAGTAGATCATTTTTAATATACTCTTTGGGAAACACCTTCTCAGAGAAAATACTAGACCATGTTTCGTAATGAAAAATGAAAAAAAAAATTATATACTAAAATCAAAACAGTAGGTAAATGAACGAAACAGTATGCCATTCTAACCACCTACGGTTTCGATAGCTATTTTGTAATAAGTCCTAATTTTTGGCTAAAAAATGATAAGTTATTAATGAATTTGGTTAGATTAGTAATTTTCCCTTAAAAAACATGCTAACAACATTTAGTTAACTTATAATATATTTGTTAAATAATAACAATCAATAAAATAATACGACTCTCATTACCTATTCTCATTACCTATGATATTTGTTTCATATGTATATAAATCAATACCGATTATAATAATAATAATAATAATAATAATAATAATAATAATAATAATAATAACATAGAAAAGCATATTAACAGTAATATATTCTATATATTGGATAGTAATAAAATAATGGTAACAAATAACAAAATTAAGGAAAACATATTAACAATCCCATAAAGAAATAATATATTTTCAAAATCTCTTATCATATTTAGCATAAAAACCTCTAATTTAACTTAAAAAGCCCATATCCAAAAGAAAAAAAAAGCCTTTTTTGTTTTCGGAATGGTCCGGAATGCACACGAAATACCATCTCAGTTATCTGATTTTATCTCATGTGATTGATACAAAAGGATCATACATAAACACAGACACGATGCCGGTATTAGTCGAGATAAAGAAAATGAATACTCACACAACCAAAAAAACAAATAAGCAAACCAATCTAGCTTACAGAAGAACCGAAGGGGCCATCAACATGAATTGGTAGGTGAAATAACCTTACCAAGCATATGTTGCCTACCATGATCAGTATAATATTTGAAGATCTGATCATCTAACCCATTTATCACAACCTATCTACAACCTCATTAAACATAATTCTTGTTTCCGAAGAATTATGTCAATGGTCAAATCTTTCAGCACCTAGGCTATAGAGGCCGTTTTTCGTTGAAATCCTTTTTGCTTTTCATGGGTTTCAGACACTCCTTTACCTCTTTAGCTTTGAGTAGTTATTGGTTCCCGCACTCTCCTTTGTCTTTGAGAAAGAAAAACGAATTTAGAAACAAACATTCATGTAATCTTAATTTTTAGCTAGGGTATATGAAAAAAATTGTAAAAATACACTATCATATACAACCACATCTAAATGAAACGAAGGTAGTTGTTTTGTTTACCTTTTATATCGGTTTAAATGAATTGGGACCATATGATGGTCTTCAGCTTTGCGAAACCTTCTAATGGTACATTTTTGCTCAAACCTGCAGCAAAGCTTATGTTAGGCCACGTGAAAGTAAAACTCTACGAACAATGGGCTGGATCTGTATGAAGCTCAACAATAGTCTCAAACCTAATAATACATCAAAAAATATACCTAATAAAGGTTTCACCTCCGAAGGTTGTTCCTAATCCAGTTCATGAAGAATCTTCTCAACCTGAAATAGAAGTATTACCTTCGAAATCTGGGATTTTTAAAAGACCGAAGAAAATGGCTCATAAACCACCTCATTCACCAGAAAGGTCTAGTAGTTTTTCGCCGAAGTTCACTAGCAAACATCAGATCCTTTGACAAGGAGTTGTTATCCGTGATGTACAAATTCATGTGTCTCCTTCTTCGAAAAAGAGAATTGTGAAGGATTTGGCAAAGAAAATTTCTAAGAATAGGAAAAGGAAGGTGCTTGAAGATTCGTCGGAAGAT